GTTTTACATCCGGTCAACGTCACCCGACAAGGGAAGTCCTTGTCATCAATCAACTGCTTTTTAAAAAGTTTGCAGGCATTGTCAGTGAGAGGTCGGAAGAAGAGGGACATTGTGCACATTCGCTGGTTTCCTTTTGACATTTCATGTCAATCAACAGGTCTCGCTTTGATGAGACCTGTAAACTCCTGTAAAACTGTGAACTGGCACAAATGAACCAGTTTAGTCACAAGAAGTCACAGTTCTTCACAAGGTAGCCTAAGTTCGTTTAGTGCCATATGGTGTCCAACCAAGCCAAATTAGGCCACTTATGCGATCATTTCGACGGTAGTGACGCCTAACCGATACTATTACTTGTGCTGCACTCAAAAAATGTGCAGAACCAACTCAAATGATTTAACATGCTTTTCTCTTACTTTTCTGCTCGATATTTTGCAATGGCCTCAAAAAGTCTGGATAACATCACTGTGGGAGCTGCAGAAAGAATACTCAAGATTAGGAGCTCCAGCCATATATTCATTTCGAAGCATCTTGGTGACATAGTCCGCGACCCACGTCCGCCTATTCTCATGTATGCAGCGGAAAGTATGCTGTCAGTGCTGCACAGGTGAAGGGATATTCATGAGGGGCCTTATTGTAGCCATGCTGGGCAATTGTTAGTACTTTGATCGCTGGAAATGATTCCCATTCACTCAAGAATAGTTGACATTTTAGGAAGTAGTGCGAATCTTGGTATAGCGCGGCTACACAGAAAAAAAAGTGATGCCGCGCGCGCCGCACTTGAACCACGACCGTTGTGATAAAGTTAGAACGCGCTTCTGTTTGTCAAGTTAGCTGAGAAAGACACCCAGCTAGTTTCTTCTCTTGGGCCTATCGTAGGCTTCCCTCACTACATTCGAAGGTTCCACGGAAGATTGAAGAGTTCACGATCTTGGTGCAGTACACGATTCTCCTTTTTGTGATTTTCTTGTCCTGGCCAACAATTTTTTTTACATTATTCAAGGATCAAGGAGAGATCACAATCTTTATGAAAGCTCTGAATGATTGGTCCACAATGTGCCGTATTCCCTGAGCGTGGAGATCGCTCAACTACAGTGGTAACGTTGCAGGCACGAACAGAAACGCTCCTAGCTTGAGCTGCTTGGTAGGAGGCCAAGGGATGTGGTTCGAGGGGAGGAGGGGAGGGGATGGGGTGAAAAGCTAAAAGAGGTGAAACTTGAACATTGCTCAGAGGGTACCGTGTTCGAGGAAGCGGTTGGGCAGAACCCCTACTTACACTTTGAATCCCTGAGATGTGGTAGGCGTGGTCGCGTACTTCAGCTAAACGTGACGGTAGCTGTGCTTTTGAAGGATATTTTCATTTTGACACAATTGTGGTCGTGTCTCTGTCCAACACTGAACAAGGAGGCAGTTGTCTCAGACTGAAATATCTCACGAGTAACCCGTTTCAAATGCCACACCTCCTCCGTCTCACGGATAACGAGTGTACAGCCATGACGGGTCCTCGATATGCAATTCAAAAATTATTCAGTAGGTTTTGGGTTCTTCCGCGCACAGGACTATAAGTTTGGTCTTTTTTTGGTTGTTAATTCGACTCACTGTAATCCCACCAGAAGTCAAGTCAAATGCATTGGTAGCGTGAATGCACAGAAATCTCTTCATCAAGCGCCGAAGTAACATTTCTATCGGGAACTGTGGGAGGGTTGAATGACGTCATCTCCCTTGTCATCCTTACGCTAAACCCCTCACACAGCGCCTATGAGCGGTTAATAGTAAAAAAATACTTTAAAAATGCACTGCCAGAGGGGTAGACAGAGTCTGGATCACAACGGCTACAAACTTCTACAACTTCTGATTTTGTTTGCAGGAGGTTCTTTGCTTTTACATATGCACCTCATTATAAACTGTCCTTAGCTCCGGTTAACATGTCTCTGGCAAAACCTGTGAACTCTTGTGAAGCTGGAACAAGGTCGTCAAGCCATCATGTTAAAACCTGTCAACTCGAGAAGAGGCTGTCTAGATAGGTCGACATCGATGGAAAGTAGCAAAGTGCAAAATGCCCCCTCCCCGCCGTCGTCAAACTGCGCCCTGTTCTCATTAATTTTGTAGCAATAAATCTCAGCGCTCAATAGATAAGGCGGATCCTGTAGTGTTATAATACTAGTTTTTTGATAGCGATTGCTCCATGATCTCATGTAATGACAGTGCCATTGGCTGATCCATGTCTTGAACCAATGAGAACGAGATGCTGAGCCTGGACTGGGAACCGGTATCTGGGTGGTAGTAACAATATCCCCAGATCATTTCGTCCAGCATTACTGCGGAAAAATCAGCTTAATAACAGTAATAACACAGCTTCACTGAAGAGTCACTCAAACAAGTTTCTTTTTGCAAGTTAACAACCTGGTGAACGTTACTAGTGTTCTGGCAATACCGAAAACCGGTCCCATTTGCCACCTGAACCGTACTATTAACTTTTTCCGGGAACTGTGATAGTACACCTTTTCTATAATAATAATTGGCGTCGTGTGAGAACTGTTGTGCTGAGGGCAAGTCGAACGTTGGAGACCTCCTCCGGGGAGGGGGGAGCTCGTATTTGCCTTAAATAGGCAGGTGCCACGATAATTTGGTACTCTGCCCAAAATGGTAGCAGGGGTGCTAAATAGTGGGGAAAATGGCGAAAAAACGAAGTGAAACATCAAAAACCTGCGAAGAAAAGCCTTCGTTCTTCATGACTCAAAAAGCAATTTCGGACGAGTTTTTCCGTAGACATCCTGCCAGTAACCGCTACGGTAGGTACGGCTGCAGGTATATGCTCATAAATCTATGAAGCACGACAGCTTCATTCGCGCGGCAAATTCCTCTCAAAGCCACATACGATCCCCCTCTCTCAACAACGACCAAATACGACCCCCCTGCTCAGCGGAAAAGTACGCCACCCCCTCCCCCTATGTGGTTTCACGGGATGATGCTGTGACCTGCCCTCACATGCTTTACGGCAGTCTTTTGGTGGGAATAGAGATATTCTTGGAGAAGAAACTCTAAAACTCTGGAGTTGTGGTTTGAATCGGGAGAATTTAGGGACGTGGTAGGTAGCATGGAGGATTGAGAAGGGAGCCAAACCAAAGTATGACATTTCAAGAGGACGGGCGGAAAAGTTTCTCAAACGGCAACGTGCGCGGTTGCACTGAAGCGGGCAGATCAGGAGCAGCAAGTGGGAAGAGGATTCTTCACAACCTGCAAGGTCCATGCCGTGGTATTCTTGACTCGAACAAGCCTTGCTGACTACTGAGCAGTTGGTACTGTATTACTACGCTTTCTAGCGGTCGCATTTCAGTTAGCTCTCTCAAGGGTTACAAAATCAAGATTTTCACCCTCCGTTTGTTGGCACCATCAGGACGGGTGAAAACACAGAGAACACTTATGGTTAGCGGCCCTGAAAATCCGTGTGTGGACCAATGTAAAGAAATGGGCAAAATATAAGCCGTTGATCATCATCCCGTTGTGAGATGCGGCACGCATCCTAGTTCCACTCAGGATCGTAGTAGCTTTGAATGCGATGTGACTTATACACCTACACTTGCAGGGGCAGCCCGTTGTGCAAGTCAGTGTTCTTATCCTCCCAGATGAGTTTGCTACCAATTTAATGCCCCCCCTCCGAGGGTAAAAGGCTCGACCGGCATGGACGGGAGTCGGTGATAAATGTGCCACTTGCCACTGAAACCTCCGCCTCGTGGACCAACAAAGCATTCAAACGGCGCAGCGATTCTAGATGAAAATGAGATACGGGGCGCATTCCAAAAAGGGGCAAGCAAAGACGACAACGCGAAAGGTGTCCTTTGTGTATTGCATGTACCCAGTGAATTATAAGCTAAATCCCGTAGATGGTGTGGGAGTGGCAGCACACATACTTCTTTCAAG